GTGTACGTGTGCGTGTGCGTGTGTGCGTGTGTGTGCGTGTGTGTGTATGTGTGTGTATGTGTGTGCATGTGTGTGCATGTGTGTGTGCGTGTGTGCGTGTATGTCTCTGTGTGTGTGTGCACGCGCGCGTGTATGTCTGTGGTGTGTGTGTGGGTGTGTGTGTGTGTGTGGGTGTGTGTGTGTGTGTAGTCTTCCCATCACTTTACAATACCCACTTTCCCCACCTTTAATTTACTGGAAGTGACACCGTGTTACTTCAAAGTTCTTCATTTTTGCTTAGAAGCAATTACTTCAAAAACTGTTCAAAGATTACAATTAAACATTACTCAGTTCTAGAGAATCTGCCATGGCTCTCCTGAGGGAAGGTCAGTGGGTAGGGGGTGGAAAGCAGTACCATCACTTTCTTCGGAAAACTCTGTGCTCATGGGGATGAGATGAGAACAGTGCACCCTGCATTTCATAACCACTAATACTCTCCCCAATGAGTCTCTTAAATCCGTAAAGAAACAGTGAGCTGTTTTCTGGCATGCTTATGTTTGATTTTTTTTACAGAAAAATCTGAGGATATGTAATTTAATGACAAAAGCAAAAAATCTAAGGCCAGATTTTCTGGCTGCTTGATGGGTTACCTCTCTGCTCTTCTCAATCACACAAAATTGCTAAAAGGGTTGATGAATCTGCCTCACGGAGCCAGCCGCACTCAGTAGAAAGAGGAAACCGATCTTATGGGGTAACTGTGAACGGCAGTGGGAGAGACCATGGTGAGGAAGAGGAAGTAGGCAGAGCCAAAGAGTTAGGAGAGCCTGGGACATAAAGACGGGGGAGAGATGTAGGAGAGAGGAGGTAAAGACGGAAGAGAGAAGAGGAGAAAGAGGGGCTTAGGAGGAATGCGATAACTTTAAGGGACACAGGAGGAAAATGGGGGGGGGGAAGGCAGTGGATAAATGGGAGCTGCCAGGCCAAAAAAAAAAATGTCTATAAAACACAGAGGAGTCCAAGGAGAACGTGTAGCCTTGGCCCAATGGCGGTAGAGTCCTGACATACCCATGCCAGTATTAAACCTGAAAACTGTGAGGAGAAAGACCAAATCCAGAGTTGTCTAATTAAAGCAAACTTTTTTAGAGCTGTACCCAGGAAACCCAGGATGTGGGGAAAACAAAGATTTTACAGCTCAGGGGTTGGGGGTTTCCAAATGGGGCATTAGTGGACAAAATAGGCTGTGTTATGGGAGCAGAACATAAGCATAACAAGTAAGTCATAACAACCTCCTGAAACAAAGACATGGTTGCAGGGTGGTCATAGCAAGGTAGTCATAACCACAGGTAGTCATGACAACAGGTAGCCATAACAACCTTTTGAAACAAAGGTAGTGTTGCAAGATGGTTATCAACTTTTGTTTTGTTTTGTTTTGTTTTTTTGTTTTTCAAGACAGGGTTTCTCCATATAGTTTTGGTGCCTGTCCTGGATCTTGCTCTGTAGACCAGGCTAGCCTTGAACTCATGCCTCCCGAGTGCTGGGACTAAAGGCATGTGCCGCCACCACTGGGTGCTCATTAACTTTTTGAAACAAAAACGTAATTGCCGTTTCCTGGAACAGGCAGTACAGAGCCATTTGTAGTTAAGGTTACAGGTGGGCCACAGCCCAAACCTTGAGAAACAGAGGTTTAATCATAAACAAGAAGGAGTCCAGTTTGTCTTTATGATAAGATGCTTTTAAACCTAAAACAGAGGCGGGTTGGTTCTTCATCAGCCTACTCTCACCCAAGATAACAGCCACCAGAGCCTCCTTTTCTGGATTCTTGGATTGTCTGAGCCAGTGAGAATAGTTCATTAATGTGGCAGGGGGATATGAGGAGGGGTGGCAGGACCTTGTTTCGAAGTAACAATTCAGGATTTTCCATTCACTTCTTGCCTGTGGTTGTGGGTCTTTTATCTGCATTATCTGTGGAGCCAAATAAATTCCTGTAAAGTCTCAATAGCAGTGATCTTCCCATTTAAATCTCCCCCCGATCCTATTTATTGGAGTCTGCAGTTCAGAGTGCAGGACGCTAAATTATATTTTTACAAACATCTCCAAATGCTGACTTTGGAAAGTGGTTGGTTAGGTTGCCAAAAGGACACTCCCCGGCAAGGAATAAGTAGAGCCTGGTGGATAGGTAGCATGTCCGTCCCTCTTCTACGGACTGTGTCTGCTCTTTTGAGTACTCAGCATGCACTAGGGACTCTCCTCAGAGCTTGCCTAACTCTTCAAGGAGCCCGAGAAATGGATGACAGTCAGAAGCCTGTCTATATTATGTCCCAGTCTTAATCTGACTGCCAGCTGAGTTCAGAAAGCTCTTCAAGCTGTGGTTTTCATAGGTGTGCATTGAAAGCCGTATACCTGCCTCTTCCACACCAGCCCTGGAAAGGAAACATGATTTGACTGGGTATAAAAAGGTGGATGAGTGCTTCCCAGGAACCCCTCAGTACAAAGCTAGAGACAGGCAGATAGCTGGAACCGAGTAAGAGACATCTTAAACCTTCCAGATTCTTCTCAGGCCCCCGACCTATAGAAGGGATAAATTATACGCAAGGAGCCACAGTTCTTCCTAAGGAGTTTAGTTCTTCGGATTTAAAAGTACTAAGAAAATCTGAGGGCTAGGAAGGCAGCTCAGGGGTAAAAAGCTTGCCACTGAGCCTGAGAACCTGAATTTAATCCTCAAGACCCACATGTTTGAAGGCAAGAACCAATTCCCACAAGTTGTACTCCGACTCCACACACACACACACTTTTTTAAGTTAAGCACTGAGCAATCCTGAGGGCTGCCTCCCTGTTCCAACCTTCCGACCCAACCTACAGCTCCAACCCTTCCATGGTCCTGAACCCCCCAGTCCTGGACAAGGACCTATCTCTGTTACAGCTAAAGCTGTCCCAGGGAACCACATGTGCCCAGCACTGTTGGGTCACCAGAATCGTTTTTTCATGGGACTCAATCCTCACACTCACGCCAGATGACATTGCCATCCAATTGTTTTGCTACAAAAACAAAGGCCTATTAAGACAAAAACAGGCACCATTGGGAAGAGTTCACCATGCTACCTTTCCTGGGTCTCTCACCCTGTCCTTGCCTTCAGCGATGGTGACATGCTCGATCCCAGTTGTCATTTTTAGGCATTCCCCCAACAGTGAATATTTCAGACGGGCAATAAACCATTATGTGTAAGTCACAGCTTACAAGTTGGATGCTTGAGTATTTTACTAGGTGCATGGTTTTAGGTTCAAACTGCTGGATAAGATTTCAGAGTTGTCTGACCTCAAATGCTGATACCAAATGGAATGTTACAGCAAGCCACAAAAGTCCCCACTGATGAGACACTGGAAGACCACACAAATTACTTACAGTAATTATCACAATGAATGGTAACTCATTAAATGTCTTGGCTGGTCTTTAACGTTTGAACTTTATTAGTGCATGTAGATATGTCTCTGTATGTGTACATACATGGCACCTGAATGCACCAAAAAAGCATCAGAGCTCCCTGGAACTGGAGTTACAGGAGGTTGTGAACCGCTGAGCATGGGTGCCGGGAACCAAACTCAGGTGCTCTGGAATAGAGTCCAGCAGATCTTAGCCACTGAGCCATCTCTCTGGCCCCTTTGCTAGTCTTTAACGTCCTATAAAAGCAAGCCCTTAAGTGGGGTAAATTGGGAGGAAATAAAAATGACTGGAGGTGTCCTAGGTGTAGCAGGGCTGTGGTAGATATATTGGACACATTGTTACATGGGATTCCTACATGTCACTTTGACAGTGACTCAGGAGATATTGCTCAGAGAAGGCACATGACTTCCCAAGGGTAGCAAACTTGATGAAAATGATGACATTAAGAGGGTGAGGAGTATGTGGAACGAAGAGTGATCAGAAGACACAGTGAGAAGGGATGAGGAGCCGAGCAAGGCACACTAAACTATCCAAAAGATGGGTGTGAGACTTAATAAGTTTGGAGGGCTGCCCTGCAGCTTATTTTCTGACTTTCATGACACTTATTTATTCATTTATACTGTAAACAATTAATGAATGCCCACTACATCCAAGGTGAGTGCATCTGCTCTTGCAGGGTGGCCATCAATGTGAAAGACAGGACTCTGTTCTCCACCAGCACAGAGCCTAGCAGGGGT